TAGGCACTTGAAATATGTATCTTCACTTCTAAGATTGCATATGAGTGCAAACTTTCTAAAACAGCACACAAAATACCTTTTGAAGTTTTATATGGTTATAATAAGAAGGGACCTATAGGCATTGCATAACTTTCATCCCACCATTGATATTCTGATTCAGTATTTAAATTTGCAAAAGGTTTTTCTAGCCTACATGAATATACAAAAAACAAATTGAAACTAGCAACTCTAAAAAAGAAAAATTAATTAATCATAATAGATCTTATTAAGAATATAATGAGTGATTATATGCACGAAAAGAAGCAATATTCCTCTGTAACACTTAAAAAGTTAAAAGTATAAGCAAATAATCCTTTTAAAATTTTAAGAATATTTGGACCTAATGCTTATTTTCTAGAATTTTTTTTTAGTTCTAATTTTAATATAGAATATAACTTACAAACAGGTAATCCAACTTAGGAATTCAAAGACTTCAAAGACTAGCAAAACTTCAGGAGTACTTGAAGACATGTTGCTAGTGCACTCTCAGCCTACATAGGTGAGTGGATTCCATCCTTATAGATAAGCCACCTATATATGCTACAACATACGGTAAATTTCTTATTGGATAAGAAGCGCCTACTATTATTACCTTCTAGTAGCCATAAGAGAACATGAAAAAGCTTTCTACAATCTGCTAAATCGACATTAAGATTTTAAACATTCTAAGAAGAGTTCTTCTGAGTCTGGAGAGTTAATGCAATACAAGTTTGACATATAGCAATCATCAAATCCATGAGTACTTATGGACATTAAAGAAGTTATATTTTATTGCATTTTTTTATTATTTTTCTTATTTAAATTTTCATTGCAACCAAGGAAAATGTTACTTGTAAAATAGGAATGTCAAAACTATAAAAATATAATGTGAGCTAAAATTTTAATCTATGTGTGATCCACAACACCACATCATTTTGCTAAGTCATCAAAAGTCCAATTCAAAGAATGGCCAACCTTTTTTTAGTCTTATAAAGAGTTATTTCACCTTCCAACAACTTCATCATTGAAAGTACAGGCCTTTGAATTTATAAATTTGAGTTATAACATAAATAGATTTTTAGGTAAATTTATTATAGTTTGACTATCTTTTGAATTCTTGATCTTCTTATTAAGTGTAACACTTATAACTATCACGAAATCTGTATGAAAAAGGTCTTGATATCAACTAAAAATCTTTATGGAGAACTCTTATCATCCTTAGTAAAGCAAGATGGCTTACCTCTTATCCTGGCTAAACGAACATATAAATCCCTCTTTAGTAGGAGATATAATACTTAATATTTTTACCTTTTCCGTATGATTTCAATATAAAACTTTCATCAATATATATTCTTCAAGTGCTCTGGAGTTTTTCTCAATGCTCTCACACTCTTACATTAAGTTATAAGGAAAATACCTCAGCCATCAAATATGTACAAAGCAATTCAACTAACCCTTTCTTTCATTCTCCACACCAAAGAATTCATGTAAATACCATAAATAACTCCAAATCCGTATTTTTAGCATCCATAAATTACAAAAGGGTACTCATACCCAATATAACTCTAAACCAAACTTCTCCTTAAGCTCTTAACAAAATTAACCAGTACAAAATAACACAGACGCAAGTCTTCTCCCTACAAGTCACTACCTCCCTTTGATCTTCCCCTTATAAAGTTCACAAACCCTATAAAAACTCCTAATATATTTTTCCACATATCTTACCACTAAACAAAATAAATACCACAAAGGCAACACATAAACACCACTATGTACTGCATCAAAATTTTTAGGTTTTATTAAAATTAAATTAATTCATATTTAAGTTTCTTAGTGAAACCTATTGAAATTTAATCATTCAAATCTAAACATTGAATAGCCAAATTATATCTTACAACTTTGCTTTCTAGTCCAGTTTAAGTATTTGCCAAGATTCGAGACTGTGAACGGCTTGAAGGCTCTTGCAACAATGTTGTTGAGGATAATTGTTGATCATCTTTGTATGCTTTAAGTTAGAAGATATGAAAATTAAACATATGGGAGAATGTGGTTGTAATTCTAGCGTGTAAGCCATTCATCTCTTACAAGAATAGAGAGTGGGGAAAAAATATTGTTTGTTGTGTTTGGGGTAATGTTATCGGTGTGATAATCTCTAAAAAAAGATTAAAGTTTGAAAAGAACGAGAACACCATCGAAAAATTGGAGGTTATACGTATGCTCAATATAACCTAGAGCAAAGGTTTTGCAGGCCCTCATCATGCTATTATAGTGAACTTCTTAAACTGCGAATGTCCAATTGAAATATAGTTTAATAGATGGAGCATGACAAACACATAGCATAGAATGGAAAGCGTGACATTCCAATGAAGGAGTGCAAAGAGGTGTTATAGAAGTATTTCACCACTACATAGACTTAGTTCAATTTTTAGGATTTCCTATGACATATCGTACAAGTTTTTGATTGGTTATCTTTAGATTGCTCATTGGATTCAAGATGGTGAGTAGTATTGAAATATTAAGTTATGTTCCAATCAATTTATATAGGACTCTCTAAGAGTTGGTGATAAAGATGTGATCGTAATCAAACAATATCATCTTTGAAATGCCAAGATGACGACAAGTTGCAAAAGACGTAGTTCGCTTCAATGGCAACATATCTAAGTGAGCATAAATTTGTTAATTAGTTGACTGCCACCATAATTTTAAGGCTAGTAAAATTGTTCATGTACAAGATGGAAACATGTCCATCCACCAAGCTATTATGATGTTGATGGAGCAATTCATTCTTGAGGGCTAATGTAGATGCTAGCACAATCCTGACACATTTCAATGTTACCCGTCTTAAAGTTGACATGACATTTCAAAGGTTCATTGTGCTTTAATTTGTTGCAGTTTTTTATGTTTTAGAAGGGTGTAATTTTTACCGTGTAAATATTGCAAGAAGTAGCGTATACGTTTAAAAAGTGCAAATAAAAGTATTGGCACTGCAACTATGATGTGGTCATCTTCATGGATGTGCAATAGAGTGCAAGCCACTTTGTTTGTAATGTTAGTTTCGTATTAAATTATGTCTTCGTATTTAATTATGTACTCATTTCTTAGCAAATTAAGTAAACATCTTTTGTCATTCTGGTGTTTGAAATAAGCGGAGATCCCAAGTTGTTCATCCAACATTTCACCCACTGCAAGATTAGGATAATCAGGTAGGATGATTGATTGGTTAAGGGCACCATAATCCAAGCAAAAAGACAATGTTGTCCTTTAGTTTATGGGGAAAAAATAAGAAAGCACTTGTGCTCGAATAAATGACTCCATATTGTAGCATTTCATGGACCAACTTTCAATTGTTGTTTTCTTTTTTTGAAAATTAGGGTAAATACATGGACAAAGATTGGTAATGAGTTGTTAAATTTTAATCAAATTTGGTTATTTTTTGGATGGCTTAATAAAAGGTTGGCAGACTCGTTAAGAGTTTGGAGTATTTTTGGTGCAATGTTTGGATGAAAGCAAGAAGCTACGGAAGCTTGCTTGTAAAATTTGAGAAGCTAATCATATTAGATGTTTTAAACATCCATGATGTCTCCTTGAAGGGTTATGGCCTATCCTTGCATAGTAAAACTCATTGTTAAGAAATTATAATTTGTAACAACGTTACATAGGTTTGTAGCCATTGGACACCAAGGACAATGTTGACTCCTTGAGTGGGTAATAAGAGTATTTACACATGTGTGTGTGTGTGTCTACTATGTCATCATATGGATTCCCCACTACTATATGTGTGTATGTGTGTATGTGTGTATGTGTGTATGTGTGCATGTGTGTGTGTCTACTACGTCATCATATGGATTCCTCACTACTATCCTTCAATATGACATTCAGTAGCCAAAAAAAATAAAGATATGATTTGTTAAAATTCTATTAATTGTTAAGGTTGGAATCAATTCTTCCTGATTAACCTATAAAAAAAATAAAGACACTAGTTATCAACATTTATTTACTATCTAAACCATATTTTACTAAAAGGTCGTTTGAGATCACTTTTGGTTTCTATTATGTATTTTTTATTTTTATTTAAATTTTTTTATATTTTGATTTAAAATAAAAGGTGTTTATACATAAAAATAAGGTAAGGTTATTTTTTATCATATGATAATCCCTTAGGAGAGTAGTTGTTTTATATTCGACTTTTGTTAAGAAAGTCAAAGTTAAACCTAAAAAGACTTTGGCATATTTTATAAATAAAGATCATAATTGATTAAAGTTAAATAAAAATAGGGCACTCAATAGGACGCAATGGAAGAAAAAGAAGCCGACCAACCCACAGGAATAAAGGCTTGTTGTTTTTTGTTGCTGTCAAATTATTTATAAATTGCTTCGAGCATTTTTAAAAATATAATAATTTATATAAAAATAAAAGCATGTGCAAATCATACTGAACTAACTTATTTTTAAAAGAAAAACCAAAATCAAAAATAAAATTTATCTAAAATAAACTATAGGATTAATGGTAATAAATAAACTTATGCTATAAAACAAATAATAGATTTAAGTTGTCTAATCTGTCCATCTATCCTCAAGATGCAACAATATATAAATAAGTGGATAAGATTAGGTGAAGTCATCTTAATCAAAATTTGATATGGCTGAGATTTTAAATAATTAAATTAATTTTGAGATGAATGAAATATAGAAGTTTATTTATTATTCATATAGTATATTTATGAATAATATATCAAATTAGTCCCATACTCTTTATATTGAAACTGAAATAGTACTTTGTGTAAAGTCGGAGAAGCAAATTGATACCTTTATAGACTTGGAGACAAAAATAACCCCATGTAAAGAGTGCGGGGACTGTTTTGACACATTCCTGGCTTACTAATATAGGAATAATTATAAAAAACTCAAAATGCATCGTAACCAATTAAAAAAGATGAGATAAAATTGCAAAAGCCAATCTGATGGCTCTTCTTAGGTCTTACCACCAATAAGCTGGTTGGTTCAGCGTGATATTCCAAACCCTCACATTATTCGAATCAACAAACCCGACCAACCTCGGCCGGCACTCGTCTCCCAAACACGCCCCAGTACGGTTCCAGCTCACCATCACATTCTTCCTCACATCAGGCCGAATCACAAATGCCTCACTCTGCCCGTTAATCTCTCCGCCGCCGGTGATCCCCACCCCTGTAACGTTCTCCGAGAGCACAACGTACCACCGCGATGACTCCTTAGGGTAGTCTTCCTCCCTGGTACCACCCAAAATCCTTGCTCCGCGCTCCACATCAAGGATTACATAGGACCGCAGGAACAGCGTGCCGGTGAGGTAGTCGCCTCCGGTGGGGAAGAGGACGCGTCCGCCACCAGAGAAAGCGCATGTATCGATTGCGGATTGTATAGGGTTCGTGTCGTAATGGATGCCATCGCCAGCGGCTCCGAAGTCGAAGACTGAGAAGGTAAGGGAGGCGTTGGAGAATGTATGGCAGTACAGAGCGAAGAGAAGGAACAGAATTAGGGCGGACATTTTGTGGATAGGGAATTGGACCTGAATGGCATTTTAGTGATTAGTTTGACCCGTGTAGGCAATGAGAAAATTGACTTTAAATTTTTGGTTTTTTGTACATTTAAATGAGATTATAACAATAATTGACAAAATAAGCTCATTATTTATATTTTAAAAATATTATTCAAAATTCTATTTTACATCGAAATGTTCTCTCTTTCTAAAAATATGGGATCCTAAACTCTTATTCAGTAAAGGGCAAGGCATCAAGTGAACTTATAAAAAAGAGTATCATCAATTCTATTCTCAATGCCAAATTTATTTAAAATCTAATTGTATATGATCGGTCTACAACAAATTTTTTGCCTTCTTCTTTAACAAAATTTTCAAAGTTGATGATGATATATGTTTGATTTTGTAAATTTGAATACACCAATCGCCACATAGAATCTGAGTTTAGAATGATATTATACATCATATCACGTACTACAAATATATTTAAAATATCTTTGAATATTGATCAAATATTATTAGTGCTTTTGAATAAGATTTGACAAGGAGTTAAACAAGGTTCAAGATATTTAAAATAAAATTTGGATTAAGTTTGAAAATAACTGAAGGAAAACTAAAAAAAGTTTGAACAAAGTTCAAAGAATGAGTGATCATTATTGGAATAAGGTACTTGCAAGGTTCAAACATAGTTTAGCGTGATTTAAATATGATTGGACTATGGTTAAAATAGAATCGACCAAGTTTTGAATAAAACTCAAATTAGGACTAGTATTAAAAAAAAATTGAGTCAAACATAGTAAGAATAAGATTTAAATAAGTTTGAAGCTAAATTAGAAAATGATGGGAAAGTTAGTGAAGTAATTTGAGATCGATGATCACATTATTAATACTAAGTGATTCTTTCTCGATCCTCCTTGATCAAAAGAAATTCAACACTATTATTATTAAGATAATTGGATTAGTAGATGAGGAGGAATCATTTTTTGCATACATATAATTCACAATGTCATGTGACCAACATTGAAAGGATTGGAAAGAGATATAATGCATTATGACTTAATTTCTTTAAAGAAGAATACTCTAGCTTAGTACATTGTAATTGGATATGCAATATTATGCTTATGAAGTCACCCAATAACAATAGAGGAATTATATTGAGTTTTTTTTAGAAAGAACACCAAGGATATTGAGTTGAAAGAGTAAAAAAAATGTTTTTTTGGAAAAGATTTCATTCCAATGTTGACAAGTAGAGATGAATGGGTGGATCATTATGTCAAATTCAACAAAGTATTTTTATTTATATGGTGCATCATTATTACTTTTTAATTAAATTTGAACTTGTTCCTTTTAGGCAATTATTTATACTACATTAGTATATAGAGAGGATGAGAGGACTCCTATAACTCCATAATATATGCTCCAACTCAACCTTTCCTAGATGGAGCTATTAAGAGAAAAATGACCACGCCCATTAATTAGTCTGTGTCAACTTATGAATTGTTAAAGTGCCCTTTTTATCTCTTTATATCAGTTGAAGAAAGACAAATGAGGATAAAGTATAACTAAATATAATTACAACAATAATTGTATGCTTTGATTAATCTTGTTTAGACTCTTGTATATAAAAAGAGCAAGAGAGAAAGGAGGATAATACAGAGGTACCAATTATTATTCAGCAATTCACTCAATTGAGATTTAGGATGATGCGCAAAAGGAAGAGGAGAAGAAGTTGGAAGACAAAATGGAATAATTCCTCACTAATATATATATATAAAT